CCTTTTATTTTGAATCAGACAATAGTAAAGATAATGAATAGTAATTTAACGATAATACTTTGTTATTTGGAGTAGATAGTCAAATTTTTCAGCGAATCGAAAGCTTTACTTTATATCGAATGTGTCGTTCGGATAGGAGCCTCTAAAAAAAATCAATCTACAATTTTGTACGAAGAATGTTTTAAATCTTGTCGTTGTTCCTATCATAAGATACCACTATGGCAATAGCCACATCTACACTCACACCCCAACTTAACAACGATTGAACAAAATAGACTTTTGTGTACCTGTTGCTTCACTTCCTCGTGATTTAAGCCAATAACGTAACATTTGTAATGAAGCATTTTCTCCAAATTCATCCATAATTTTTGTAACTTCATCTTCACTTAATTCAAGTTCAGCAGCAAGTGCTGGCCAATCACTTCCAAGTAATCGTGCAATATCAGTTAAACGTATTTCACCTTTTCGATACATATCATCCGATTTCCAACCTACATATAAAAAAAGAACACATGAATTTCAATTAGCAAAAATAACCAAGAAATTCTTACTTTCCGAATGACGATCATGTTCAATAGAATGTAAAGCTCGAAGACGCTCTTCGCTCTAAATTCAAACAAATATTCAAATTACCTTTCCCCCCCAAAAAAAACCAACAATATGAAATTCTACCTCAAGTAAATCCTAAAACAAAACAAAATGATACATATATATATATATATGTATGTTAATTCAATATATTATTTTACTTTATCATAAGCTGGTATAATAATATTTAAATTACAAATTGTTTGTAGTGTTTGTGGATCAATAATTGTTGTTGATGATAATGATGATGGTTGTCCATTAGTCATTGTAATTGATGTTGTTCGTTGTATAGATGTTAATTTTCCATAATCTTTTGAAAAAACTAAACGTCCTGATGGTTCTTGTTCTGAATCACGTATACGAACAACACATGGTAAACGATTTTCTTTAAATGCACGAAATACTAATGTTAATTGTTCATTTGTTTTTATAATTGTTTGTAAATTATTTGATTGTAAATCGATATATATAGAATTTCCATTAACAACTTCAACTTCTTTTGATTTAGCTATTTCAGTAAAGTGTTCTTGCATTTCAAGTGTTTTATTTTCTTTATCATCTGTTATACAAAATAAACGAACAAGTGCTTCATTTATATCATGTCGTTTAGCAAATACAATAAAACGTGACATATATGGAACTAATATAGCTTCACGATAGATTTCATGTGCTAATTTTAATACATCTGGTATACCTTGTGCATCGATTAACCAAAATCTTTTTGAAAAACAAAAAAACAACAACAATATTTTGATGTTACAAAATTAAAATTTTATTTATTTTTTTTTACCGAGCTGAAACTGTTGTTGTAAATGTGGCACAATCATTTGAAAATGTTAATGGTGTATGTCCTGTAATATCATCAAATTGTGCAGCATGTGTACCACCCGTTATACTACATAATAAACGTAATGTTTGAGAATCACTTGTATATGCATTTGCATGTTGTTGTTGTTGTTGTTGTTGTTGTTGATGAGAATATTTTCTTGCTGATGATGATTTAGTTGGTAATGGTATTGTTAATGTTATTGGTTTATGAAATTTACGACGACGTGGTTCAACAGTAACAACAGGACTTACATTAACACGTGAACCATATGAACGTTGAACTAATTGAGATGATATTGGTAAAACATGAAGTGATATTCGAATACGTTTTTGTAAGGCTTTTTCTGGTATATGTGCTTGAATAGTTGACATTATTGATGATATTAATAAACCACCTTGTTCATCAATAAAATGTGCTTCTTGACGAACACGTGTTATTAATGCAAAATAACGAGGAAAATCATTTGTTATAATACGTGTTATTCGTCGTGAAAGAAGTTCTTCAGCATTATCTAAATCTTTAAAAAAACAAAAGAAAAATTATATTTTTACTTATAGAAAAAATTTACCTTCAGAATCAACAATATCGCCAAGTACTTCACGTACTGCTTCATCTGTTGTTGGACCTGTATGTTCAGTCCATTTTTCACCATTATCACTTCGTAAAACAACAATTTCACGTTCACGATTACGTAATGAAGCAAAATGTGGTATTTCAAGAATAACAGGTCTAAAATAAATTATTAATT